GACTGTTCTATATAATCTTTAATTCCTTCTAAAAACTTACAATATTAGGATATTATATATACAACAAATTAAGAAATTTTAATACAAGAAATTTGAAAAAACAAAATAGATATTCTAGATCTATATAAAATTAAACTTATTTAAACCAACTAATAATTTATATTCCAGAATAACAAAGATAAATACAAGTGTTTTGTAAGTTTATATATACAAAATCCTATGGATACAGAGATTTTTCTACTTATATGTAAGAAGTTGGAAAAAAATATTACCAAGATAGACAAAATAACATGACATCTAGTAGCCATCAACTTCTTGAGTAAGAAACAGAAAACATGAATAGTACAAATATATTTTTTCTGTAACAAAACAAAGAGCCTAAATATTCAAAGAAAAATCATAACAATTATTCAAAACAAAATCTATTAACAATTTCAAATAATCGACCCGTGGGTCTATAGCATAGTGGTTAGTACTTCACAGGTCAGATCACAAGATATCAGTTCAATCCCATGTGAAGGGGATTGAATAGTATTAATATGATATCTGGCACTATAACCTATTATGTGTTGTTTCTCATAAGAAGCTATTTCACATGCTAATTTAGCAGGTGTTGAGATTGTAACCTCCCAAAAAGGTGATGTGGTGGGCCGATCGTTTAGTTGATATTATGATAATCATCTGGAGTAAACATGGAAAGATGATATGGTATATAGTTTTGAGCAAAATGGCTTGGTGATCACTTCCTTGTGGTATCTGGTGTCTCTTCCTGTCAAGATAGTTGCCTCTACAGAGTTCTATTTGTCACAATAGATATTACCTCCCAGTTCCTTCTTCTCTCTCTTCTATAATATCCACAGTTAGAAATAGAACACAACATACTAATGCAAATAAGGAATCTTGAAGAGGTTTGCTGACAGAACGAGAACAGTGTGATGTACATATAGTTCCTATATGTAGGAGTTGCATTCTGCTTGACATTTTTGCCCCTAGATTTGATAGCCTAAATCAACTGATCTCTTGAAATGTCTACTAGGAGATTTACAGAGTCGTATCCCATTTGGCATTAATGTCCCTAGATTTGATAACTTGTGCCAACCAAGGACAAAGTCAAAGCATTTACTAGGAAGTGCATATATACTGAAACTGATTCGTAGCTGCAAGGTTTCGGAAAATGTAATTAGTAAAAGATAATCTACAAAAGATTAGCATATTGGTTATAAAAACTGCCCCCTAATCCTTACTTCTTCCAGTAAGCCTCTTTAAGTACTAAAAAGTTTAGTAAGTCACTAAGTAGAGTAGGTTAGCATTAGCTGTAGTCTAGTACTATAGAAGATGTATGATGTATAATCAATGATTCTTATATCAATAAAAATAATTGGCATCTAAGCCCATTCTATTATAAAAAAAACAATTTCAAATAATCATAATGGATTATTTCAATGCCACTGTTAATCCCAGATTTGATCGTAAAAGCACAGGCTCCAGCAATACGTTCACCCAGCAGAAGATCCCGAAGCTCAGATATTCAGACATCTTATCAATTCAAACATAATAAATCTTTATCAACTCTGGGATGACAATGAACTTTCCCACTATATTTGGGATTCACCATCTATAACCAACAACATGCTCAGCTTCAAAAACACTAGCTTCGTGGAAATAACCAACAGTGATTATACTTTCCTAGAGCTCGCAATAACTGCTCAAAGTCAGAAAAAGTCTGATGACTGGACCAATGATCAACTGTGCTTACTGCGCCCTTGTGACAATTAACCAGGCGATCATCCCTCTTCCCACGCTTTTTTTTCTCGTAGGTCAATAAGCGAAGCCATCAGCGCCCCTCGAACTCAAAACAGACGTATCACTCTTTCATCACCTTGATTTAGTATTCGATCGATTGAAGGTATATATATTTTGTATGTAATCACATCTTTACTTCAGCCATGCCAAACCTATTGAAAAAAGTTAAAAAACAAATTATCAAGTTCACCAAAAGAGGAAGCAGAGGTCCGGTTTTTTGTTGTTGTCAAACATAGTATTTTCAGAGTTATATTGTACTCAAGCATTTTACTCACCACAGGCGCTCCAATCACCGACCTCACTGAAGAATACACGGTTCAAAGTTCCAGCATCGTTCAAGAAGACATCGCTCAAAGCACTTCGAGCAGGTCTATAATAACTACTCGCGAACCTGACAAAGAACCATCAACAAATATTCCCGAACAGCCCGAGACTAACGCCATGGCTCAAAACACTCAGGACACCACGGCTGAAGACACTACAGCTCAAAACATTACAAGCACACTTGACGCCCTTCATCTTGATCCTCCAATCACTCCACCCGAAACTGTGGAATCCCTTCGTGCATATGAAAAAGAGCCAGGCGAAGCACAGAAGTTTTTAGGTACGACCAAAATTTGCTTCACACACGCTTATATATTTTGGTTCCTTAACCCGATGCCTTTGAAGATCGCATGGAAGATGGCTTCACGTGGCCCGCTTCGATGCCCGATAACATTAGAAGACAGGTTTTCTGGGGTTTCACTGATGATGTTGACGCTCCTGAAGGTGACCTAGATCGAGAAACCGCGGCAAATTTTCTTTACTTCTTTAACAGTCTTGACAAGGGCATGTTTGATGAACATCAGAAAGACTGGGTACTGGTGTACGGACAGAAGGTTGTGAAGTATGGGTCAGATGAGTACACAAACCAGCAATTATCAGACCTCGAAGATGAAATGCCCGGTGCCATTTATATCCCAGTTGATCCATTACTTCGTGAAAAATATTTTCATCCAGTTCCCGCGGCGAGGGCGGTGAAATCTCAGCGTTCCAATTATGGAGAACACCTGGTCTGGATCGATTGATCATTCCTAAAATATAAATAAAATTAACCGACATATAATATTATTATTAATAAAGCTCAAGGTTCGAGTTAAAAGAGTCGGATCAGAGGATCAAACTTCTGTCATACTTGACTATCAATTTTATGAACCTTTGGACAATAACAAGTTATACAAGACGGTTCTCGACACGGGCGCACCAGAAACAATATTACCTTTTAACGTCCGTCGACGCCTTGGAAAAAGTGGTTGGTACAGTTCTTCTACCACTGCTCTGGGCTATGGAGCACCTGCTAGATTGATTTTGGCTCATGATCCATTTTTAGTGTCCATTGGGGACGACAATGGCTGGAGCAATTGGGTCCAAACTAACACTCTTCGAGTTTGGGAATCAAAGCCTGGTGATCAGGTAGATTCTTCCCTGATTGGGGATGACGTATTAGATGAATTCAACTAACCCTCGGCATGGGCCTCTTTTGACAACGTTTTTAGATAACCTATCACCCTAACGGTTAATCATGCCTCAAATAATGTGTAATAATACCCTCCTGCTTGTGGACTCTTACTTTCAGTTTCTTTGACACGTAGTGTCAAGTGATGCCAACCTGATTAAAGGAAAAAAATACTTTGTATCTTGATTCGAATTTTTAATAATTATGCAAGTAAAGCCCAACGTAAAATGAATTGATTGTATTGCAATCAAATTATGCTACCCAAGATTCTCCCACCCAAGATTTCATTCAAGAAGTGTCTTCAGGGTTCACAGATGAGGAGATCATCGAAGTCATCGATGTACTCACTACCAATACGACAATAGAAGTTGAGCTAGCTCATTTGTTTCTAAAGTAAATATTGAGGGAAAAAATACTATACAAGCTAAACAGAAAGAGATTTCATGTCGTTACTCTTACGGAAAAAGATTTGAAATAGGTATTCAAGAACTTATGGTAAAAGAAAACATTTCAGAACAGACAGCGAGAAAACGATTATTCCAGGATATAATAAAACACCTTTCTGGAATAACTTTGGAAAGCTTACGTAAAAGAACCCAAAGATCTATAAAACTTTACAAATTAATCGAAAAGATAGGAGTCGATAAGATCAAGAATATCAAGACAATTCAGTGCGGATTATATTTCAAAGTTTACACAACCTCAAATTCAAATAATTCTGGATTATTTTAGTGAAAGTGAAAAAGTGAGACCAAAAGTCCCACTTGATCAAAATGACGTTGTCAATCATGTATCTAATACAGAATCTACTGATATTATCAGCAGAGCTGACATGATCAAGCAGACCTCATCGATAGCTCAGAAAAGTGTACCGCCTATATTTGAACCAGAAGTCGATGTAAGTATATCTCCTGTTTCTGTCAATTCAAAAACCAAGATAAGTGCGAGATCTACCTCTAAAACGGAAAAGAAAGCTTTACCCAAGAAGACCCTATCTGAAAAGCAAAATAATCCAGCGTATACCCGTGGTTATTTTCGTAACAAATTATTGGATCAATATCCCGATTTAAATAAAGAATGTAGTCTCGAAAATGTTGATTATTATGGGATTAATGCCGAATCATTATGTCCGATATGCAAGTTAAGTCATGAGGATGAAGAAGGTATAGAAGCTGAATATAAAGATGGATCTTACTATATTAAATGTGAAGCATCTGAAATCAGCACGGTTATATCGGCTCGCACTGAACTAATTGTATAATTTTATCTGTTTATTATTACTATGCAATAAAGATTAATGTGAGAAGCGGAGCTACTAAAATAGCATATATATTTAATATCTTTTTATGCACATAAGTGCCTCCATTTCGTAAGTGATATCCAATGTAGAAATTTAAATTGACTTGTGATCTTATAAAATAACAACATGAGTGCGTTAAACTTACAGACCAAATCTGATAAAATCTCTATGAAACAGGATACTTTGTGCCTAACCCCCGAATATCTGGATTGGTATTCCAAATTAACTGATTTGTCAACCACTATATCTGATAAACTTCGTTCCAAGTTGTATAAAATATACAAGAAAAAAACTGGGCTTGATCCTTGGATAAAGTCTGAAAATTCAGAACCCCAACAAATTGAAAAGACTGATAATTGTATTTTACAGAACAGTTCACTGGAAATCCAGGTAAGGGTACAACAGATAAATGTTCCGCTTATATCATCTAAATGACAATTTCCAATTTCTGTTCTACCTAAAGACCCAGAAGGAAGGCAACAACATGTTATTAAAATGGTATTAAAGCGATTTCCTTATTTAACTCTGAAACATAGCTTTAAAAATAATTGCTTTGATTTTAAGAGATTAATACTCTGCCCTTTATGTAATAAAAACTATAAAAAAGAAATTATAAGAAATTATATAGAGGGTTTTTGGGGTAGTGGTGAATATTGTAGCGAAAAAACTTATCATCTCAATTGTTGGGGAAATAAATATCAGAATTCAATCCAAATAGTAACAGTAAAAGCGTAGACTATTGATTTCGAATATTAATGCCATGCCTTGTAGAGGCGCCTGAAAGCCTGACCAACTCAACTCGATATTCACGGGCATATAATAGTATAGTCACACCGGAAATTTAATCATATGCTTGTAGAGGTGAAACCTCATTGCTCCGCAATAATACACCCGAAATAGATTCCACCTGCCCGAAATAGATTATGCGATGATTATCCACACGTCAAAAATAGATAATATATCCAAAGTACATCACTCGCAAAATATGACGATTATAACACTCTCGCAGATACGGTCCAAGAACCAATTACACTAAAATTGAA